GTGTGTGTGTGTGTGTGGTGAGCCACCAAAAGCAAAATGCCAGTGTCCGGACAGCAAAGATCAATTATACGAAGCAATTGAGAACGTACATTTTGCACACTTGAAGACGCGTTGATTTCTAAGGGGTACTTAACATAGAAGTTAACAAAAATAATAAACTAACATAATATTAACTTTGCTGCTAATAAAGATTTCATTTCAGTTCCTTATTCCTCATTCGAAACTTTAAATTTTAGTTTAAGTTTTAGTAAGAGTTTTCCGGCACTTGCAATACAATAAGGTCATATAAGTGCAGAAGATTAGAGGTGTTACAAGAGAGTAACAAACACAAAAAGAGGGAGGGGAGATAGAGACAATAGTTTTTAATAAGAAGGATGGAGCAAACCACACCAAAGCACCTGCCAACAACCCGCACTTTAAAAAAAACATACTAAAAAAAATACTATGGAATATTTATATTCGTGTTTCTTATTTTTATATGTTGGTTTAAAATGATGCAGCATTACCTTTGGTTATCTTCTATTCAAACATATTACTCTCCCTGTTTAGTTTAAGTAAGACTATTACGGCACCTGCAACACAGTTGGATCATACAAATACCGAAGATTAAAGGTGTTAACAGACAGTAATACACACAAATAGATGGATGAGATTTTGGACGGTAATATAAGTTTTGATAGGAAAGAAGGAACAAAACCTAGTACTGGAGAACCAGCCAACCTTCTACTAGCTTGCGTCGGATTTGTTGTTAAATGACTAACATATGACCATCAAAGATAAAAAAGTACTTAAACATTATTCTTAAAAGGTATTGAACTAGATTGACGATTTTAGTATATGTATTGGACACCAAATGACGACGGAGAAAATCATTAAATATTGTTCCCCTTTCCTGCAAAATTTGCTTCGTGAGGAATTCACGACTTCATCAGGTAACCGAGGTAAGAAAGGACTTACCACAGTTATCTTCATCACTGCCGTCCTCACAGTCATCTAGCCGGTCACAACGACGTACTGCGTCGATGCACACAGAGGCGTTGCACTGGAACTCGTGAGGTAGGCAGCCTGAAAAAAAAACAAAACAAAAAAAAGTTACAAAAAAACAAAACAGAAATAAAAACGATGAAAAATAATGATCACTATAACATGATGGATTTTCCATAAAACTGTAGGTTGAAGTAAACTTTAACTTCTCTCTCTCTTTCTCTCTCTCTCTCTCTCTCTCTCTTTCTCTCTCTCTCTCTCTCTCTCTCTCTCTCTCTCTCTCTCTCTCTCTCTCTCGCTCTCTCTCTCTCTTTCATCATCAGTATTAAGTGCCAGATCAGCGACCAACATCGGCAATCAAGGCTTTCCATCCATCCCTTTGCTAGGATGCTTTTATTGAAAAAAAACCCAGCTACATTATCCTGATCTTTCCTCCCCTCACCCATCTGTTTAGGCTCTCGAAATTAATTGCCTTTCGCTTGTCCCTGACTCGCCCACCTTCTTTTTTTTCAGTGAGAGCTTGATGTTCAAGTCCTTTGTGTTTATTCAAGTAGAGACAAAAAAATTGGAAGCGTTTTTCTCTCAAGGCATCTTGGTCAAGTACAATGGCCCCAGGGAGATTGGAGGCTCCTTTTGTTTGTTTGTTTTTGTAAAGTGTTTTACGGCGCTCGAAACTGCATAAGGTCATATATGAGCGCGCGGGACACACCTAATATTTTCAGTTGGTAGGAAATTTTGAATTTTGCCCGAAGCCTACTCTTATCGATTTTAGACCACCAAGGGATCTTTAATGTGCGCTACTAGCACACGGGCCCTCCGAGATTTTTCGCCCTTGTCCGAGAAGGTTAGGTGTAGATCTTTCCTACCAGGAGATCAGGGGTGTGGCAGAAAGACAGCAGTAAGGAGGAGCCAAGGAGTAGCAGTGAAAAGGCTGCAGAAAGAGTCAGGAGCTCAGAGGAGGGGGCAAAGGAGGTGAAGGGGAGGGGGCATTAAGTGGAAATGAAAGCAGACAATAGAACATTGCTAGAGAGCAGGAAAGGAGGTGAAAGGAGACAATTTTAGAGAAGAAAATGTTTCGGTCGCTACCCGGATTCGAACCAGGGATCTTTGAATGAGAGGCCAACACCTTAACCTCTAGGCCACGAGAGCCCCCTTGGAGGCTCCAAAAGTGAGCAAACAGGCGTCTGTGGTGTAGGCGTTCGCCGTCACTTCTAATAAACTTGATTTGGATTTGCGTGAGAGGAGAAATGTCCATCGAGTATCTCTGTCTTTATACTTGGATTTCATATCCATCTGAACTACATTTGGCCCAGATATACAGGGTCAAGTTCACCTCCTAAGTATTACTCCAAATTTTACCAAAGAGAGCGTAAAACTCTCATTTTAAACAAATAACAAATAAATAAAACATCAACCCCCAGAACGTCCCATCCCAAAACAAAAAAAAAACAACAAAAAAACTCACCAACAAAACAACAACAACAACACAAACAGTTACAACAACAACAACAACAACAACAACAACAAAAAAAAAAAAAAAAAAAAACCCTCATAAGACGAAGTTTCTTTCCGCAGTCGTCCACAATCTCTTCCATAAATATCCACCATCACCACCACCAGCAACAATACCAACAACAATACCACCAACACCAACACCAACAACAAACAACAAACAACAACAACAACAACAACAACAACAACAACAACAACAACAGCAACAAAGACCCTTCGGACGATGACTCTTACCGCAGACCTCCACAGTCTCATCCTTCCCGCCCTCACAGTCCCACACGGCGTCGCAGACTTTTTCCCGCGCAATGCACTGCTGTTTGACGTCATCGCAGGGGAAGGCACTCTCGGTGGCCTGGCAGTCTACATGTGTTGGGGCGCTGTCCTTGGGGCTGTACACCTCGTACGTCACAACTTGGTTGTCGCTGAAGGATACTGGGGAGATAGAATAAGAGAGTCAATAGTGTTGTTGGTGAAGATGGTGGTGGTGGTGATGATGGTGGTTGTAGTAGTGGTTGTGGTGGGGTGGCGGTGGTGACAGTGGTTGTTATGATGTACAGTTAAGAGAGAGAGAGAAACTGTGTGTGGTTGTGATGGTTGTATTATGCGTGTTATGTCCTTTATATCTATGTGTATCACATGACCATTAAGATGTTGTTTTTTAACGAATCACTCACGAATCACGGCAGTTCAGAATAAACTCTCGAGCAAGTAACACGCGTTGTGTTAAAGATACCATAGTTGTAGTTGTGGCTGTGGTGGTCGTGTTGACGGTGGTGGTGGTGATGGTGGAGGTAGTTGTTGTGGTGGTGTTATTGCTGGTGTTGGTGTTGGTGGTTTTAGTGGTTGTCGGGAAAGTGGTGATATTGTTATTGTTGTGGTTGATGTTGTTGTTTTTGTTATTGCTGTTGTTATTGTCATTGTCATTGTTATTGTTATTGTTATTGTTATTGTTACTGGTGTTGTTATTGTTATTGTTATTATTATTGTTATTGTCATTTTTATTATTATTTGTGTTATTGTTATTATTGGTGGTGGTGGTGGTATTGGTCATCATTTTGTTACCATTATTTGTATTGCTATTGTTGGTAGCTGTGTTGTTGTCATCGTTTTGTTATTGTTGCTGAAGGTAATCGTGGTGTTACTATAGTTGTTACCTTTGTTGTTGTTGTTGTTGTTGGCAATGTTTTATTATTGTTGTTATTTTCTATGTTGGTTGTAATGTTGTTATTCTTATCAAAAGTCATATCTTTATTGTTACCATCAAATTGTCATTGCTGACGTCTTCGTTATTATTACCCTCATTGTGGCCATCAGTAGTTATATCATTATAGAACTAAAACAAAACAACATAACGCAAAATAAAACTCACTTATATTCTCTGTAAACGGTGCTAGTTATTATACCTGCGTGATTCTGAAGTAAACATTTGTGTAAAGGATCCATTGTAGGTTAATGTTTATGTGTATTCTAAACATTTCTCATCCACGAATTTTAATAGAAATATTGATCAAAATCAAGCCATGCTGTGAACTACTGTAAATGCAAGCAATTTGTGTTTCGCGGGCCAATGTGACCTTATGCAATTGTGAGCACTGTAAAAATTTTACTAAGCAAACATTTCTCAGGGCAGGGTTTCCAAACCACAGACTACGCGATGCAAAGTATAGATTTCCTCTCAGCCCGAACCCAAGCCTAAGCACTCACGCCTTCTTCTAAAGTAAGATGCATTGTATTTAGTGCACCTGATCCACAACCCACCCGCCGCCTCTCCCCTCTCCATTCACTCCCGCAAGCCCACCACAGAAGAAGAGGAAAAACCCACGCTCTAGAAATAGATGAGTAGAATTTTACTCTATTTGGGTTCTAGATCCAGTGAATTCATTTGCAAGTCAAACTGCCTCTTGGACTAATTGACGGGCGTCTCGAGAGTCTCAAACTTCAAGATCCTGGAGCCTTCAGCTCGTGCAAATCAATACAAATAAATTAGGACAAGAAATCAATGATCAACCGTCTCTTCATAGACCAAAAATCGAGGACATTACTCATACCTTCCTGACCCCTCTCTCCACACCACCCACTCATCTTTTTCCATATCGTCTCATTAAATCTCCATTTCATATCCCGTCTTTCCTTTAGATTATTTGCCTTTATTTCCCCCGTTCATATTCACCACTACCACCTTTTCCCCTTTCTGCTTAAAAAAAATTCCCTACACATGACGTTTGTCTACTTTAACGTATACCCACTATCACCACCATCCTATCCCCTTTCTTAAAACAGAAGAAATTATGTAGTGTCGATTTGCAATTATTTTATTACCAAAACAAAGCTCAAAATCTGCCAAAAACAAGCTTTGCAAAACAGGTCAAATTAAAGATAGTTACCCATCAGCACACACCATTTACGTAAGATGCGTTTGAAATGTGGCCACAGATCATCAGGAATCATCCCATCCACCCATTAAAAATCTAACAGATTTGTACGAGTGGTGTCAAATACAGTTCTAATTGTCCTGCCGCTGCTTATTTACGTGCAAAATTTTTGTTTGGACAAACGGGGATTATGGTCGAGTAAAATTTAAGATGAAGGCAGTTAAACCTGCCCAAATGATCACCTGTATACGAAAATCACATTGGCTACTTCTCTTTCACCTAGCTTTTTTACGTTATAATGACACTCTGTAGGACGGAAACCCGTTTAAGACAACCATTTTTTGCCTCGGCATTGGGTGGTCGTCTAATGCAAGTTCCCTTGTATAATATATTACATATTTATTGTATGTATATGTATGTACAGATATATATAT